TTATTTCTTAAAACATGAAAAACTTTGTTGTTTTCAGGACCATTTTCTAAAATTGATGACGATTTTTCTTGTTTGGTTTGGTTTATCAAGTTATCTTAACCAAACCAAATGGATATTATGTTCATAATACATTGATAACAGACGGATTATATCAACATCGGTCTACTATATGTTATTAAATATAGATTTGAGCAGTTTGACTCCAGTTTGCAAGTGTATGAAATCTTTGGCTTTGGCCAAATTAGCCTCTCGCAGAAGAACTGTTTTTGTTGCCTTTGGTAAATCAAATTCACTTTGTGTGTGTGTGTGTGTGAGTGTGTTTGCGTGTGTGTGTGTGTGTGTGTGTGTGTGCGTTACCGTCATTTTGAGCGTGATCGATGGCTGCTGGCAGTACATGCAGCAGGCAGCAGGCAGCAGACAACTCGCAGCAGCAGCAGCAGCAGCAGGATGTGGTGGCAGGCAGGCGCAGCGCACAGGAGGCCTGTGGATTTTAATCAGCAACTGAAAGCCGATCGGTGCTGGGCAGACAATGACAACGACTGATATCCTGTGTGGCTTTCCATTGCCTGGCCTAGGCATTTATCTCACGCACACACACACAGACACACAGAGACACACACAGACACACACACACACATGCAGCTGCTCATGCACTTGCACTTCCGTTTCCGCTTAAGAGGGTGGCAAGCAGGCGAGTTGCAAAAGAAACAAACTGCACATTTGCCCATCTTCAAGCTCAGCTGAACAGGATGGGCCAACACTGATTGTTTGCCCACGCTGCAATGCCACTAAATTGTTTGTCTTCTATGTGTGTGCGTGCGTGTGTGTGTGTGTGTGTGTGTGCGTGCAATACCATTAACAATACGCCCAATGCCAAAACTGGCAAACGCGCCAAAGCCATTGTTATTTCGGCGGTCAATTGTTGTTCTTCCGGCTTGCGTGAGCTTACTGCGGTCCAAAAACCATCACCTCCCCCCTCCAACAACTCTACGTCCTCTCGCTCCACGATAGCCGCAAATTGTGCAAACAAGCGTGGGAACGAGCAAGGGAGCAAGACAGAGATAGAGACAGAGAGAGAGAGAGAGAGAGAGAGAGTAGGGTTCCGTCAGGATGCTTCATGCAAAACTTGTGCCACAAATCGCTTCAATTTTGTTGCGTGTTCGGTTTTTGGCCCTGTTGCCGTTGTTGATGTTGTTTTGTTGTTGTAATTGTGGTTGTTGGTTTTGCTCTCGTCTAGTTTGAGTTGTTTTTTCAGCTCGGTTTGTTCTCGACTGCAATAATCTTATTAGCAGTTTGTTGTTCGAACCTAATCAATTACCAACGTAATTACAAACTTTGCTAATCTGCTTAGGTCGCAACAGATTCACATCGAACAGGGCACAGAGATGGAGCCACAGAGTGAAAGAGAGGGAGAACGTGCGAGTTGAAGAGAGAGGGAAAGAAGCATCTATAGTTTACCCTATGCCAGGGAGGACGACGAACATTTCTGTTCCTGATACAAGCAGATTTTTGCAATTTATATTGTGTTAAGCAACTTAAATTGCAATTTTGGGGGAGCTGTGAAAATTGTCAGCTTAATTCTATATATAAATTTATATGTATATCTACCTGCAGATAGACAGGACCCTGCCTGGACCCTTTGAGCTACCAGAGATTTTTTCATTTATACTCGTTCACCCTGCAAGTAAAATTTGCACAAACGTTTGGGTTCTTAGATGGCCCCAGAATCCTTGAATGCAGTTCTTGCGATTCTTACGCAACGTGTCCTTTAAAAGTCTGCAAGGATTTGAACGAGCTGGAGTCACATTTCTCGGTATGTGTGCCCCTGAAATTATGCCTCATTTTTAATGTACGCATCAACTAAATTTGTGTATGGCTTTTCAGCTGCTCCCTTAACTGTTCGGCTGATGCTTCGATTAAAATAAGAAAAACATTATTCAAATTGAGTATTTGCATTTATTTTTAAATTAAAAATGCGCATTTATTAAAAGTGCTAAGCTGAAAGACTTTAGTTGCAGCTACAAACTATTTAAACATTAATTAACGTCCATGACTTAAAATCGAAATACAGCAAATAAATAAAATTAGTAAACTATTTTTCTTAATCTGTTGTCCAAGAACTGCACACTGGCTGCCATTTCGTCTATTGATATTTCCTTTTGTTGTCTGTGAATTAAATTGTGAATTGTAAATCAGATCATCCTTTTCTTTCTGGCTTACCAGTAGTTACAATTCAATTCAATAGGATAACAAATATGATGCTCCAGATGCGGTTGTTGCTTTTATTGTGTAGCTAAGCAATGCAAAAATGCCAAAAACTTTTATCGTAATCAAAAGCCAAAATATTTGAATATGCCAAGACAAAATGAATGCCGTGTTTCGTTTCCTTAACTCCCGCTCCCCACCCAACTTAGCCTCGTCTGCTCGTTTTTTGGCCAGGACTCCCAAGGACCTCATACGTTAGGCGAACATCAGCAGCAGTATCAGCAGTGGCAAACTTTTCCACGCATGATTTAAATGGAAATAAATCTTGTGTTAAGATTCGACTCGGATTTGGATTATGCAACGTGGCGTCGTCTGCCAAACTGAAAAGATTATGGTCTGGGTATGGATATGGCAAGGGATAGAGTAGAGTACAGTACAGAAGATGGATCTGCATTCGTTGGGGCGTTGCTGCGTCACGTAGTTGCTAAATTTGTTTACATGTTGCTCTGTCGACGTCGACGTCGTTTTAGTTTTGAAACTCTCACTCCCCCTAAACACCTCACCGAAGCGGCATCTACAATTGGCATAAACTTTTTCATATGCAAATCGCAAGTTTAGCAAAATATTTCGTTTATTGTTGAAGTTTTCTTTAGTTGCTTGTCAAACCTTTTTGTATGTTTTCCTCTGCAGCGCAGCGCACGCAAAAAGTTAGTCCAAAACTTTTGATAAATTGCGCCAAGCAACCGATGCGGCGCGGCCATGTAAGTTTATCTCTTTCTCTCGCTCTCTGTCTCTCTCGCTCCCAATTTTCCAAAATATATTATACATAATTTATATTTTTATTATCAAAAAATGATGACACCTTTTATTGATTTAGTTTCTGTTTAGATGTATGTCCTGTGTTTGTGAGTGTGAGAGTGTGTTGTGTGTTGAGTGTTGAGTTTTAGTATACATAAATATACATATTACACATTTAATTTATTTGCTTAACTAACTGCATTTATCACTAGATTTTTACGTTCTCGCTTTCGATTTTCACATCTTGAATCGGAATCAGCAAATTATGTTTTTTGTATTACAATTATAATGAATTGAAATTTGCGCACATATTTATCAAATGGTTATTTTCATTTTCATTCTCATTTTCATTTGGTTTTTGCTTAACATCTAAATTAGAATACACAGCCTTGCTTTGTTTCTCTAAAAAATTACACTTAACTCTCTAGTTAATTACATTTAATTACACACCGATGAAAACGCTTATAGAATTTACGCTTATTACAATTTGTGTATGCATTTGACGATATCTTTTGAAAAAGCATTCATAATTGTTTTTAGTTATTTATAGATTTCTTTTTTCTTTTTCTTTTTTTTTTTTGTTTTTATTTAAAGCCACATTCAGATAGAAATGCACAGTTAGGGTTACATCAATATCTTATGGATACACATATTAGTTCTACAATAATTGCTTAAATCAAAAATTTGCTAAACTTAAAAAAAAACATGCTAAAGCCTGGATATTATTTCAGTGATTCAATATCGGCCAATAAGCTAGCTAGCTAGCTATCCGCGTACTATTTGCTGCACAATAAATGCCAAATGTTAAATATATAACTTGTAGCTACTCTTAAACTCACTTATTAGCCCAATTGTGTTCCAAACTATGATTTGTCAATGCTTTTGTTTCACTACAACTAAATACGAAACTCTACAAATCATAAACCACACATTATGCTATTAATAACATTTTTTTTTTATTCTTCAGTTTTTTTATTTTTTCAATTTTTATTTAAAAATTTTTGCTTCGCAAGCTTTTATTAAAAATGGCATTATACTGCGATATCTTACAAATATCCATTATAAAGTTTTCGTTTTTTTTTTTTACAAATATATATAGGCTTTAAAAATTTACACTTGTTGCGAATTCGTTTGTGACAGCAATTTTTGATGGGCAGCATAGTTATAGTATGTACAATATATATATATATTGGGACCAAAAAGCTATACAAAACAGCAAACAACTGCAAGGAGAGGTTGGTTATTAGAGATCAATCAGATTATTATATTAGAATTAATTGAGACTCACCTTAGGACTCTGGTTAGCAGCATCAGTTGAGTTTCTCCTTAGTAAAATGGCATAAATTAGGCAAATTCTAATGCAACTTTAGTGAACGTCAACTGGGAAGCTATTTGGATGAGGAAAAAACAGTTAAACCAAAGTTAATAATATAAATATACATTTAGAAAAACATATACAAATATCAATATATCAAATTTATTATTAAGAGAGTCAGAGACAAACAGAGTTGCGATCATTTTGTGCATTTTGAAACAGAAAACAAAACTTTATTTTTATATATGCAAGTGTCTGTATTTGTTTATTTGAGTGTGTGTGTGTGTGTGTGTGTGTGTATGTGTGAATGTATATATTTATATATATATTATACATAAACAAAAATAATTTCTATATTATGTATCCAAATCGGTCTACAAATTAACTACAAAATGTTCAGTGCGTAAAATAAGTAAACAAGATGAAGTTTTCGACATTTTTCAAATGGATACAAAAAGTACACTGAAGAAATGAAGAGTGTATTACATAAATAATACAAAATGAAAAAGAATAAGAACTAAAGAGCAACTTCATTTAAGCAAACAAAAAATAAAAATACACATTTGTTGCATTTGTTTCTAATTTCATGGATTTTTTTTTGTTAGTTTCAATTCAAATGTCTTTTGTGAAGAAAAAAAAGAAAAATACAAAAACCACTGAAATTATAAGCAAATGCAACAAGTTGAATATTTTTGTTTATTTTCTGACATTAATACTAAACAATTTTGTAGCGCATTAATTCACATTAAAACTAAACGAAATATTTAAGAATTATAATAATAATAGTAATGATAATTATGTATAACAAAAACATTATTTTTTCCATTCAGTACAAATAAAAAATTTTGGTATTCCTTTTAGTGTTGATTAACAATTCAGTAAAGGCACTTAAAACTAGTAGAGTATATACGCATTAGCATATAAGCAAAAATATAATCCATTTAACAGAACAAAGTAACCAATAGATATATATATTTATATATACTATGCGTTGAGAACTTCAGATATTCCAAAATAAAAAAAAAAAAACGTTCAAAACTTGTGACTCGACTTGACATCATGTGAGATGAACAAATGAAACAGAGAGAACAAGTGTGGATTATTCAAAAGCTGGGAAAAGTATATTAAATACAATTGTTTTTCTTTCTTCTTTCAAAACATTTCTTTTCTTTCTTTTTTTCTTCGTTTGCTGTTATGTTTTTAGGTGAAACTTAGGAGCTAACACTTGAAACAGATTAAATATTTAGAGTGTGTCATATTTTCGAAATAGCAAAGATTGTGTGTACAAAAAGAGTATTTGTTAAAAAATTCAACTGTACGACAACAGCTTAAAACAAAATGAAAAGTGTCGTTAAAGTGTGTGTTTCTTTTTCTGTTTTTTTCTTCTTTTTTTTTTGTGTTGCGAAAGTAACTTCAAAGCGTAACAAACAAAAAGTGTTTGACAAAAAACTAAACGCTAAACTAAGGCACTAAAATTATAGGGTATCGGTTTACGTATGTTTTGTTTCGACTTCAACATTTAACGTGCGAAATTAATATTTGCTGTCTCTCTCTTTTTTTGGCACAAATTCATGTCTTTCAAATAGTATTTTTTTTTTGGATTTTTTTAATTTTATTTTTTTTTTTTGTGGATAATACGTACAACGTAGACTTCTTGATTTGGTTTTTTAGTTATAGTCCACACGGGTGACTCTTTTTAATAATTAGACTACTCCATTTGACATACTTCGGTTGGGTTGTTTTTCTCTTTTTCTTAGTAAACATTTCTTCCTCTTGCTTTTTTAGCTATTGTTGTTTGTTTAAGTTGCTTAAGTTGATGTTGTTAGTTGTTGGTTGTTGTTGTTGGTTGTTGGTTGTTCTTCTTCTTCTTCTCCAGTTGAATCTATCAGTGTTTCAGCTGTCGCTAATAGGGCTTGGAAGCATCCTTGGGCTTCTTTAGCTGCACCTTCAAACGCTTCGTGCCCACCTGGAAACCATTCATTGCCTTAATGGCCATCTGTGCCGATTCCGGATTATCAAATGAAACGAATCCAAAGCATTTCGACAGACTCGTCTGCTTATCGATGAACACCTTGGCCGAGATGACATTGCCAAAGGGCAAGAACGTCGATGCCAAATCGGTATCCGTAAACTCCTGCGGCAAATGATATATGAACAGATTGCAGCCTTCAGGCCCTGCAAGAAAACAAGATACAATTTACACAAATTGATGAATTGAATTTAAATTAATTACATTAAAAGGCAAGCACATTTATCAATATTTTCCAATGCACCATTTGTCAGATTTAGTTAACAATAATACGCGTTTAATGCCAGAGTCCTTCTAGTATTAAGCTCAGTGAATCCAAGTTCAGGTTAATGTTGTGGCTGGTGGGGGATGGGGAGCGGTCTAAACGGAGGCAGAAACTTTAAATTGAACTTCCTGCATCAAATCTGATGAATTTGAACTTATCCTGTGTGAACTGTGTGTGTGTCCGTATAAAATTGCTTGCAAATTAGCTGGAAGAATGCTGGCTGGCAAATTGACAAAACCGCAAAATGCCAACTGCCAACTGACAACTGGCAACTCTGGCGACATTCAGCTGCCGCTTAAAGCGTCATTAAAAGCAGCTCTCGAAAGTGAAAACTTAATAGAGGAAACAGCCAACAACAACAACTACTGCTAAAGTTGCAGCTGTTGACTGCTGCTGCTGGTCTTTATTGCTGCCGCTGATGCTGATGACGTTGACAGTAATTTGCACGAAAAGTGCAAACCGCAGCAGGACGCAAGAGAGAGCCAGAGTGAGAGAGAAAGGGCGAGAAAGAGAACAGGACAACAACAACCACAGCGATGCTGACAATGACGACTGAGCAGCAGCAGCAACAGCAGCTGTTAATATGCGTTGCCGGCGACAGACAGTTGGCGGCACGTGCTGCTAAACAAAATGTCACACGCCCACAAAGAGTCACACACACGCACACATACACATATATATATATATATATAGAGATGGAGAGGGAGAGACACGCAAGCCACTTGGGCACATCATTTCCGCATCCGTTTTGGCAATCAGCTCCACTCTGTCCCCTCTCCTTCTCTCTCACTCTATCTCTCTCTGTCTCTCTCTCTGTCTCAGTCTGCTCGCATCTCATTTTAGCTTTTGTCTGCTCAAATTTTAGTTCAGCTGTCATTATGTGTGTGCGTGTGGCATGTGTGGCATGTGTTTGTGTGCGTGTGTGGGCGGTTCACGTGTGTGCCAGCTAAATTAATTGCTCATTGCTGAGATAAGACCCAGAGATGAGCACCAAATGCGACTGTTGATTGAGCTGTGAGTGGACACTGACAGCAAATAAAACGAGCTTTAAAGTTCAGCTTTGAACAGAAGTGACTTGACAGGATTGGCTGTGATACACAAGAGGATATTGAGCAGCGTATTTAAAGTCTCTTATCAACTTCAGACAGATAGTTTACATTATGTATACGCTAACTGAAGAACTTTAGATATATTTAAATAATAGTCTTTGACTTCACAAGCAAATTGTCCCTCTGTTTATTGTCCTGAATATATTTAGTTTATTTATTTATTTACACAAATATAAAATAGCAAAACTCTATTAAGCATAATGCATTATTAGCAAGTATTAATCTAAGCCTTCGTTTGGAGTTGATTATATTTTTGGCATTTTTTCTTTTTTTCTGTCTATATCCATAGATATAAAGTGGAAGTTAAACAACTGTCACAAAAAGGCTCGCTGCTTGAATTTTGTGGTATTAACAGCATTGTTTATTTAATTAATTAAATACTGGAATTAGATTTATGCCCAGTCTCTCAACACTATCTCTGCGTTGCAGGCACTTGTCTCCCCCTCCTTCTACTCCTCTTGTGTCTCCATCTTTATGTTAGTCGTAATTAATCTGCACATCAACGCTTTCAATAAATGCATGTGCGGCCAAGGATAATAACAACAATGGCAATTTGTGTACATCAAGCTCGCCGCATCTCACTCTTGCTTGATAGATGTTCTGCCACGCCCACACCGCCCACACACCTATAAGACCCCATCATAATGCAAGTGGCATTGTTAAATCAAATAACTTTGTGAGCCTGCTACGACATTGTTGTTGTCGGCTACTGTTGTCGTTGCATGCAGCATGTCGACTCCATCATCGTTTGCCTGCAGCGCTATTAATAACATGGATACATCTTTTGTCATCTTTGCCGCGAGTGCCGCACAACGCACGACGCCTGCCACGCCCTCAGAAACACAATGTAACGCCCCATCCCCACCCCCCCTTCCCCACGCCACACGTTTAGTTTGATTGAATTTGCGCTGGCAGCTGTATCGACAAAATGTCGCACAAATCAAAGGCGCAGCGGTCTCTCTCTGGAGTGAGTTATGCGATTATAAAATGAAAAGCAAATTAAGAGGCAGCCACGCTTACAACTACACACCTATAACAACCACAACGCCCTCGTGTTGCCTCAGCATATACAAGATCCATAGGCCTGCTTGCCACGCAAAATCGAGTCCTTTCTAAATAATAATTGCCTTTTCTTTGCTGCTTTGTTCTTGCTGTTGTCTCGCACACACTCAATAATTAATTTGGCACACACACATGTGTGTGTGTGTGTGTGTGTGTTGTGTGTGTGTGTTGCTAATGAGCGAGTGTTGAGTGATGCTTAAAAAATGCTTGCTATTGAATTAAGGCTTAACGAGCAACACGTGTTGCAGTTAACAATAAACAGCAACTCGTAATTAGAACAACATGAAAGTAACCCGTGAGTGGTGTGTGTAAATGTGTGTGTTATGTGTGTGTTATGTGTGTGTCTGTTGTGTCATTAGAATAAGTTGGAAATTACATAATTTCACATTTGATATAATTAGAGAAAAGGGAATAAAGAAAATCCTTCCCCACTGTTTCACTTGAGTTCTAATTGGCTACCGCAGTGGAATTTGTAAACTTCAGCATTTGCTTTTGTTGCAACTCAAATTGAAGTTTGAGGCAACGTGTTGCATGGAAGACAGGACACCAGCAGAGCAGCAGAGCTGTGCATTGGCAGAAGAAGCGGTTGCAATTGTAACTTATTGAGTTGAATCAAGTTAAAGCTTTTATTCATCTTCGTAAAATAAAGTGAAATCCGATTTCTTTCGAGTTCACTGATTGCTTTTGAATAAGAGTTTTGGCAAGCTAATCCATAGTTTGTCACAGCATGCAATAGAAAATGATCTTCACAGCAGCAGCATTTTATTTCAATTACTGCCTTTAATTAGAATTAAAGACGAAAAGATTCTTCTAAGCCTGCTCCGGTTTCAGTAAAATGTCCCCAGTTGAAATCGTGTTGTTGGCCAACTTAAATGCTTCGCTTAGCATTTCCTAAGCAGCTCAGGCGAAACCAGCAGCAACACAATGATAATATTTTACAACGACTTCTCCTCTTTCAAAGGGCAAAATCTCAAATCGAAGTTGCTGCAAAAAAATGCAGCAGATTTGTGCAATCTGTGTGGAGGAGGCAAAAGCAACAGAAGAGGCAGGAAATGCAGCAGGAGTAGCAGAAGTAGGAGGAGGCGGCAACAATGTCCGGGGCCAGATAAATTCTCAGCATGTGAAATTTATCAAATGACAACATGAGCAGCAACAATATAAAGAAGAAAAAACAGCAGAGGCAGACTAACAACAACAGGAAACAAGTTATAAGCATGTAGACAGGCGCAGACGACAGGCACAAAATTAAGCAGGAAGCGTAGAGCACAGCACAAAAAAAAAATAGAGGAGCAAAAGGATGTGGAGAGTTGAAAAAAATATATATATATAAAAGCATGCTAAGGTTTAGCAGTTGGAAGTGCTGGGTGTTAACAGAGTGTAAGAAATAGTGTAGTGAATAAATATATTCTGCTAAGCAATAAATCAGTTTGGTGTAAAATATGAAATTTAATTAAAGCCAAAATTTAATAAAAATGTTGAGATTCAGCGCAATAGTATTAAAAGAGATCAGATTATATTAATTTTAAATATATCAACTGAATGCAGCTATCTGAAAAAAATATGTTTAAATCAAACATTTATTTAGACAAATGATTTAAATCGTTTACATTGTGAAATTCGATTCAAATATAAAAAGCAGTTTATTTAAATAGATAACGAAAACAGATATGTTGGATTAAAATTTCAATTATTAAGGACTTTAATACAACATGAAAAGGAAGTTGAGGTAAAGCTATTTTCATTCCAAATGAATTGGTTTTGGACCAAAAAAATAATTGAAATTGTGTGAATCAAAATGAAGTGCAAATAAAAGCGAATTCAGAGCTACAAAAATATTATAAAATAAGTAAATAATATTATAATTGAAGTTAAAATTGTTTGCTGTGCTCAAACGCGCGTCCCTGGCAAGTGTGGCAAGCAAAATATGACAGTGACAAACGATGAGCAAAAGGGAGGCGGCACAGCAGGAGTCCATTTATGGACTGAGTCAAAAAACCTCCAAAACGGATGCAGGCAGATTAAAGTCATGTGCATAAGCCGGAAGTGGGAATATAAAATAAGCAAGTGCAGACACAGGGGAGGAAAATCAGATGATGAGCAGGCTGAGAGATGAGAGATGAGAGCTGGATAAAGGACAGAGGAAGTCAGAAAGATTTGCGACTTTTGGCCGGACATGCAACGAACTTGACATTAACTGTGAATCGGACTGCGGAGCAAGGACTAAGGACAAAGGACAAGGGACTGCTAGCAAGTGAGTGATTATGAGAATTGGCGACATATTGCAAAAGACACTCCTAAACTAAAAGCATAAATTTATCTATGTGTGTGTGTGTGTGGGTGTGTGTTTTGTGGCAATAAAATCAATAAAACTGTATTGCAAGCCCAACTGTTATAAATAATGCGCGCGCTGTCACATAAATTCCAGTTTGGCCTGGCCCAAAATGCCCTTGAGAGCCGAATTGAAACGCGGGCCAACAACAGAATCCAACTGAAGAAAATGGCAAAAAATTGTTGGCCTGCTGCTTGTTAGCAAACATGTTCGTGGGCTAAAGCATATATACTACAGATATACATATATCTATACAATATATATATACGTGTGTGCATCTGCATCAATAGGAAGCACTATGAGGAAGAAAGGAAGAAAAAAATTGGAGGCGAAGCAGGAGACACAAGCAGTTCGTAACGGATGCGGCATCTTTGCTCAACGGAAGAGGAAAATGCAATATAGGAAATCGTTTTTCGCACACACACACACACACACACATACAGACACACACACATGTCTAACATACGAAAAAAGAAAAAGAAAACAAAACAGGAAGTTTATTTGTGGTGTGGAAAAAGAAGCCAAGCAACAGAAAAAAAGGACCAAAAAGAGGAGAATTGTGGTTAAATTTGTTACATATAACATTTTATTTTTATTTTTTTTGTTGATGGCTGCTATTTGTGGCTTGCAACGGAATGCAGTGGGGAATAATGCGGGCTAACATAATGATTCCGAGTTAACTGAATTTATAAGCCAACGACGAGACGCCATAATGTATGCTACAGTTAACAAGCATCTAAGCATTATGGGAATAAAATGAGCGTGAATAATACAAGAGCTGCTTAACTGGCTAACATATATTGTACTGAGAATAAGATAAGGCTAAAAGAATACAGTTTGTATTCGGTTTCGGTTGGATTGAGAGTGCTTCTATTTGTATTTGTAGTTTCCAAGCTATGCTTTATAAGATATCCCCAAGAAGTCTACTTCTTGTTCTAATGAATATGCTCGAATCAATCTTCTGCTGCAGAAGATGCTTACTTTATTTAGGTGACTTTTCAGCTTATTCTCAGGAGTTCAGTAGGCACCATTTTACCATTATGTATAACAACTATAAACTGAATTATTACTGTGCAATTTGTCTTTTAATATTTGCTGTGGCATCTTTCATAACTCATCGACAACTTGCTCATTTTGTCGCTATATCTCATTCACTCGATATGCTTCTTTAATCTTACTTTAATCAAGTACAAATATTATCTGGCAACTTCAGCAAGTCCAATTACCAATACCTGGCATAGTTGGCCCTCATCTATTGATACTATATTGATTACCTGGCGCAGGACTTTGGCCATATCGAACTATAACTCAATTATATTTAGTTCTCTGGTAAACAGATTCTTTGTCGAGTTGCGGCAAACAACCGAAAAACTAATGCCAGACTAATTATGCCCCACACGCATAACTCCTTTCTTTTCGCCACCTTATGAACTTGGCAATAAAAAGAAAAGAGAGAAGAAAAAGAAGGAAACTACTGTGCAGTAGTTAATGCCCAAATGCAGTCAAGCGTGTGGGGAAGGGGGTGGGGAGTGGGAGAGGGGCGTCTTTGCTCAACATGGCAGCTCGCATGTCGCATAACATGCGCAATTTGTTTGAATGTAAACGAGTAATGTGTGTGTGTGTGGGTGTGTGTGTGTGCGTGGGAGTGTAGTGTAGTTGTGTGTGTGTGTTTCTGTTTCTGTTTCTTGTTGTGTCTGTGTGTGTGTTGTTGTTGGCCACGAGGGAATTTTTCGGGCAACATCATGAGTCAGCAAACCAAACAAGCGACACACACACACAGCTACAAAGAAAGGAGCACAAAAGTCAACCAACTGCAAAAATATATATATCACAACATATTCGAGACAGTTGTATATAAACACATATTTTTAGACTATACCCCTTACAAATGGCTTCAAAGAGTATAGTCAAGTTGGGGAAATCGTACAGAAAGTGCATATAAATATAAGCAACAGGCGAGCCAATCTGACCTTGTGCCTGAATGAACCCACAGCACTCAGAGACTTTAGTTGAATATGTTAATTTAGTTATATTAAGGCAGAGACAGGCAGTAGTTGGCTAAAGCTAAAGATAGACTGTATTTATAAATATCCTTGATTGGCATCAAAAAGGAAGCTGAAGAAAAGAACCTTCGTGGGCAATAGATAAACACATCCCTGAAGAGGCACAGCAATCTCAGCAACAACTGTACGATTTCTAAATCAATTTGCATCTATGTTAAGTCATCTATATAAATATTGTTCCATGCTCTACAAATCATTACACAATCAGATTATAAGAAGGGTATTTCCTCGTCGGTCACTCAACTATTCAGCACTCTTCTTACTTGTTGTGGATGAATGTGTGATTGTATATTCGGCCTGACTAGCTCTCGCTGAGCTGAATGTTTCGCATGGCGTTGGTCGCAGCAGGCTGTGCACCTTCTCCCAGTCTATCATAGCCCATCTCCGCCGCCCCTTCAACTTAGTCTAACGAGTAGTGTGTTGCTTATGTAACCGGAAATATGGCAAAAAGTGCAACGCCAAAATATTTTCCGTTGCATTTTGCCTCAGCATCGTCATCGTCATCGTCGTCGTCATCATCATTCCCCAACTCCAACCCCAATCCCAATTCTCATCTTTGTCGTCATCATCGTCATCGTCATGCTCATCTTCGTTGTTTGCTTGTTCGTCCTTCTGCTCGCGAACTACTGCTATATGCTCCCCTAACAACTACCCCCACAACTGCCCCGCAGCCAAGCATGCCCCGACTCAGCATATGCCACTGCAACTTTAATGTTATGTGTGCCAGCCAAAGCGCAATTCGCTGTTGCCGCTCATCTTCATCTGTCTCTGAGTGTGCGGGTGTGTTGTGGGTGGGTGGTATGCGGGTGTGTGTGTGTATATATATATATATGTATATATATATACTTTCTGCAATATTTTGTGATATCGACGTTTCACGTCTAACTAATGGAATTGTGTGTCAAGTGTGTAATATTTACACTGTGTCAAAAGCTGATCAAAATTTAAGCTGAAGCAAAATGCCCGTTCAGATAAATTCGCATTAGTTTTATCTACACCCATCTCTCCCCTACCCCCCACCCACCAAATGCATTTTGTGTTGGGAAATGTACAAGACATGATTGATCCTATTGATTTTTCTCATCTCTTCTGCGCTGCTGCTGCTGGCTGCTGTTTGGAGTTGAAAGAAAGTGTGCACAAGTGGGGCAGGTTGAGATTTGTGTGTGCAACTATTTTAAAGCAGAAATTGAAATTGAGACTTGGTTTTATTTTTGTATCAGTTTTCTCAGTTGTTTGAATTGGAAATTATTTGTGCAAGTGTCTCAACTCAATTACTGAGCTATAAAAGCAGCCCAGCATCGACTTTAACATATTGTTTATATTTATATGAACAAAAAATGTATAAACTGACTTTCATTTTATATAGTAAATCATTTATAATAGTATATATTATAAATATTTGCATTATTTCTATTGCTTTATTTAATATCAATGATTTTAGACATTTTATTCAGTCTACTGTCTGTTTTTATTTAATATAACTATTGTTTCAAAGTTTAAGAATAGAATTTGAGGTTGGTATTTAAAGCCAGTTTGCCTTGCCTTATTCTTACCTTTTTTCTACTCATTATTCTTATCTTCAGTTTTACACTTTTTTAATGTGTTTCCCAACACTGACAACTGGCCCCAATAACTTTTTGATAAATGATGTTGGTCTTAGTAAATACATACAAATGTATCTATGTATGTATGTATGTGTGGGTATATAGAAACATACGGCTACTCAACACAAACACTCTGCCCTTCCCCTCCCTCTTTTAGTTGCCATAAAGAGATCTCCCAGTTGTGCCTCACATGCACACACACTCGCACACTCGCACACACACTAATGAAAGATTAAACGTGCAACTAAGTAGATTGACAACGAGACGGGTTGCATGACAGACAGGCGCAAAAGTAGCTCTGCTCCAAGGAGAAACTGCAGAATGGACGTGAATCCGAATGCGAATGCGAATCGAGTTGACAGCGATGAGCGAGTTAATGCATTTGATGTTGCAACAAAAACTGCAACATTCAGTTCTATGCAAGACCAACGAGCGCGAATGAGCGACTGACTGAATGACGCAATGACCCAATGACGCACTGATGCAATGACAAACTGGCTGAATGACTGTGTGTGTGACTGGGTTGCTTGACAGGACATTTGAGAGCATTTATCAAAATGTGTCTGGCGTTTAGACATTTCCATTTATCTGTGCAGCAGCAGCAGCAGCAGCAGCAGCGGTAAAAACAAATAAAGATGCTCTAGAGGAGACTACTCGACCAGTAGATACCCTGCCAACACTTTTTATAAAAACTAAAAAAAAACTATGCTGACGTGAAAGCTGTCTAACTAACAAAAAACAAAACTCACGATGAGAATGCCGGACTAGCAGATACCCTAGGTACAACGTCCATGTATACTTTGAAATAATTCTGCTATTGACTTGCTCTATCAGCAGATACCCTATACAGCTGTACAGCTTGCATGCCCTCTTGAAAAAGGTTCATTTTCAACCCACCACACCCCACCACACCCCACCACACCCCACCACACCCCACCACAGCACACGCTCATATCCAATCCATAAACCCAATTGCAATTCCACCACCTTCAGTTTACTCACCTTCAATCTGCTTGCCGGCAGCAGCGGCCGCCGCGGCGCTCAGCGCAACGCTGGCCAGCGGTGAGGTGGACAGGGCGGCGGAACTTCCAAATTGCGGTAAGCCAGCAGCTGTTGACATATACGCCGATGCCAATGGATTCGGATCAGACCCTGCAAATATAAAACGCACAAAAATTATATATATATCAATGACAACCAGCTGTGAGTTGCAAGTTGTGAGTTGCGTGTTGCACTTAGTTAGTGTCAGCAGCAAAGTAAATTGCATTTTGGAAAACAAACAATTGCCATAACGAAATTAAAATCGCGCTGCTTTTTTGCACATGTCATGCGTATGTGTGTGTATGTGTGTGTATGTGTGTATGTGTGTGTGTGTGTGTGTGTGTGTGTTTTGTTGTGTGAGTGTGTTAGTAATGAACAGTTACCTGCCTTTATATCTACAGATTTATATACATATATGCTATATGCAAAGGTTACTGCTAAAGTTGTTGTTAGTTAACACATAGTTAAATTGTTAATGTTTTATAAATATATATTTTCTCAAATTATTTGATTATTATTAATATATGGAGACCTGCTTGGTGACCTACTAGATCTATTGGGTTCCCTTCTGAGCTCCTTCATCAACCCCAGCTGCCGCACGAATGCGAGAACCATTGTTGTGTTCAGGGCTTCTATGTCTTTGAAATTCCAAACATGCATCCCTAGGATGCTGCATCTTTTCCTGGTTAAGGCGACACCTGCACAGTTCGCTACTATAACTACCTTGTTTAATTGGGTGACTTCTTAGTCTGCAATGTGCTGTAGGTATACCGCTGACCGCATTCTAAGCCTCTTCTTCCCCATGGTTTTTGTTAAATGTTATACTCTTTTTTATCTGTTAGCTTAAAGCTTATTCCGTGTTTGTTATTGCAATTGGCTGCTTAGCTAAAATGCAAACATGCACTAAATAATATAATCATTTTAGTTATGACCTCTAGAGTTTGACCTGCTCTTTCGCCTGCACCCCACCCCCAACACCAACCACAGCCCCAACGCGATGCGACGCCAGTCAGACGTAATTAATCATCGAATTTTAGACGCCACGTGGGCGACATTTGATTATATATATTTTGCACAGCACAACACAACACAACACACAACACACACACACACACACAATAAAATATACATATCCAAGTATAAATCTGAAATTAATTTGTTGTTCATACGCCATGTGGCACCCCGTCCAACTGTGTCTGTGTCTGTGTGTTTTTAGAGGTCTGGTTTGTGTTTTGTGTAATTTGACGCCTGTTGTTTGTTATTTAGTTGTTTTCACTACTATTTGTTGTTTTTGTTATCATTGTTTTCGCTGTTCTTGTTGTTGCCCGCCCCGTCATGCAATGCAATTTTGTGGTTTGCAGTTCAGTTTCAACTCGCGATGACTCCCACCTCCTCCCCTCGCCCCACCTCCCTATGTGTGTGTGTTATTAATGAGTTTTGCATTTGCATATATATATATGTGTGTGTGTGTGTGTGTGTGTGTTTGTGCGTGTGGTCGCTGCTCATTGTCAGCGAGACCAGTGCATTTGATAACTAATTTGGCTAATAACCAATAATGATGTCAGCTCGCCATGCCGTTTTAGTCCTTTCTCGACAACGACGACGAGACGAGACGAGTGTGCAAAACATGAATTGTGCATTTTGCGTCGGTTGAAATTATTTCCATGCCATACAAAATTATATGAAAAGTTCTTCAAAGAACTCGGCTCACACACACACACACACACTAAAGCACACACACACATAAACGCTGTCGAAACTTTTGCGAGATTTTACAGATTTAATTTCAAAAGTTTTTGCCCATGTGCTTGCTACTGCAGCTTCTTCAGTACCTTACCCCACGCTACACCCCTCCCCCCCCCCCACACACACACACACTGTTGTAGGTGTTGCAATCAATTTTTGTGAGGGGCCGGTAGGGGGAGGGGCAACATTTTTAATTTAACAGCTTGCAAACTTGCCAACTTGTGTGTGTGTGTGGCAATAAAAACAGGTGAGCATGTGGCAAGTTTGCCAAAGGCACACTGCCAAATACGCTGTTATCAGTTTAATAGCTGATAAAACTTTTTATTAACATGTTTGAAACTTATATTTAAATTTTATAATGTTAACTTTTGGCAATTAAAATGATTCACAAATCATAATCACAGCATTTGAACTATATCATTCCCATATAGACTCCCTATCACTCTATATGCCTGAAACAGAGCATAAGCCAAACATAAAGAAAATCAAATGTAGCTAAAGGTAACCTTTAGCAACTTTTTCAAAAAAAAAAACAAAAAAAAAAACCTTTGCATATTTGCCAAGAAATTGAAGAAATTGTTTTAATTGTTTGTTCTTGTTGTTTTTGTTGTTGGCAGTCGTCGTTGTTGCATGCATGCACACATGTCACATGGCCAAGGGGCTAACAACACTGAATGCTGAGCTTTTGACCAGGCCAATAATAACAAAAAGCAACGCACAAACACACACAACAAATAATAAACAGAGAGAGAAGCCTAAAACTATTTGGTATTTTTATGTGTCTGCCTGGAGTTGTTTAATATTACCATCCCCTCTGCAGTCAAGCCACCCCCTCCCCTTGGCAGACTCTATTGCCCATTGGCACTCAACTTTTCAGCTGGCAAATTTGTGCAAAAATTTGAGGCAAGTTGTGTATTTTTTTTTTTTTTGTTTTTTTTTTTTGTTCACTTGCAGCAGGCCACTTGAAGACTTTTGCCAGTTGTCGTTGTTGTTGTTGTTGTTGTTGCTGCTGCTGTTGATTTTGAAGTGCAAAGAGCGAAAAAGTGTATAAACAAACGTAATGGAGAGCCATGTTGAGAACAGACTGGAAAACGTGTTTGTAAAGCTTACTTAAAGGGAAATGGGAGAGAGACTCCTCCCCTGTCTCCACTCCCCAACCATCTCCCCAAAAATCCTTAGTATTCGAGGTGGTATAAACTACATAGTTTACTGCACTTTGCAAAACTTTGATTAAGATTTTCGTTTGTTGTTCGTCCTCCTCTGTTCCTCTCCAATGTTGTTTTCTTGTTTCTATTTTGTTAGCAGAGAAAAAGAAACTTTTGAATTGGATGCACTCGACGACTTTCGAACGGGATTTAGTTGATTCTCCTTCTTATTCTGCTTCTTCTTCTGTTCGGCTTTGTTCGTCTATACCAACATAGTCGAGTCCATCGAATTGTGGTGAGTTTTGGGTTGTTTTTGGATGTGGCAAATGTTGAGTTGAATTGCTTGCCAAAAGGATTAAGTTTACGATTCGAAAGTTGAAAGCAATCGGCAAAAGGTATTCACTTTTAGCTTCGAAATAACAACAAGTCGAGAGAGATCTACTCCAGAGTGCTGTACTACAAGATACCCTGTTAAATGCATAGTGCATAGTATTGAAAAGAGTGCTTAACTAGGATATTTACAAGATTGCTTGCTGATAGTAGTTTTGTGATTCTTATCCGCTCTTTTACAGTATATTTTGTGTATAAATTGGAAAGATTAATTTGCCTAATCGATTAATATCGATATTACCAAAATGGGAACAGTTATCGATAAAAATAACATACGCTTGATCTGTGTTTGGATTATGAGAACTTATATTTCTCTAATTTAGTTCATAAATATGTACATCCTAAATCGACTCAGCGTGTGATGCTGATCAAGAACATATAATACCTTATAAGGTTGGATATGATTCCTTCAGTCTGTTACATACTTCAGCACAACTTCATTATAAATTTAAAAAAGGTTCGCAATCTATATTTGAGTTGTCTTCTAGTTAGGTAGACTTAAATTTGAAATTCTGTAGAATTTCAATACCAAAAATAGAAGCTCAATTGCAGAATCGGCAGCAAAAGTTTGCATGCCAACATTTGCATGTCATATTCACCAATTACAAAAACTTCGATTGTCAAACAACATAAAATGCTTCGGCCTCTTTTTCATTTTAGTGTTTTGCGATACAATCGAAACAACCAAACTGGACACACACACAGCCAAAACACGCAACACAATTTGCAATATCAATTTTCAGAGAGAGGCGGGGGTCAAAAGTGGCAACAATTATGGGGCAATCTGTGCGCCCATTTTTGATATTTTGCAACGAGTTTTGCGATGCGTTTGCCATAAACAATTTGCGGCAAACAAAAGCCTCAAGCGTCATTTGTTTGGGCCATTTTACAACAACAGAATATGCCAAGTACATTGAAACTGGCAGCCAGCGAACAACAAGCAACAAAAACAACAGCAAAACCAAAATGAACTTCAAAAGTGATTCTGTTGTTGAGTTTATGTTTCGGTTGGGGGGGAAAAAAATAGAGGCAACAACAAATGGCTAAAAATAAACCCAGCCAAATTTTCTAGAACATTTCTTTGTTCATTTATGTTCCTAGAAGGGGGTAAAAAGTGCAAACCCCCAATTGGGAAAAATAGGCGCTGCTTCGCCGTGCGTCCTTTTTGGGGGGGGGGAGGTCAACTTAAGCTTTTCGACAAGAATTTTAAATATTTCATTAAATTAAGTGGCCCCGGAAATCGTTCAAGTGGCACACGATGAGCACGCACAAGTGCACACAAGGGGGCGGAACGGGGCAGACGGGTCAATTCACTAAGAACTGAAAATGGGAGCCAATCTAGAACTTGTAGTTTAGGCAGACACACACAAAAAAAAAACACTTGCTTTTGATTTTCTCTTATATTTTCTTGGCATTTCTCTGGTTAATTCAGCCACTTTTTTTCCTACTTCCTTTTCTTTTTTTTTTTTTTTTGCTTCACGGTTCGTAGCTGCTCACGAAATTAACTTGGTAATGCGCAGCTTAGCCAGAGCAAGGAGGCAAACAGCCAACTTGAGGTTGGTTTCGTTTGCTTGCCTTATTTTTGGCTTTGCTTTTTGTGTTCAAAATATTTAACAATAGCTGCGTTAGACAGCTCAACAGAAGCAAACTCAAAGATAAAGCGGGGGGCGGCAGAGAATTGCTAATGATATCTGTGTAAATATTTTTAAATATTTTAAACCAGCAGAAATAAAATGCGTTCAGCCTGTTTTCACTTTAACTGTCAACTAATAGGACCTATCATTGGGCGGTTGATGCTGACTATGGACTGTAAAGATATATTGACTGAAATAAATTGAAGAGTATGTATAATTTTTTAATAGTTTTTAGTTTCAGTTCTGCTTATGATGGGATGCACTTTTGGAAGTGAATTTTTATTGGGAATACCCACCTGCAGCACATATGCTACACTGAGATACACTTTGGTGGCTGAATCGCTCATTTGCGAATCAGCTTACTTTAAGATCTTTAAAAACCACAATTGAATTTTGACACTTCGTGGTTTCTTGAATTCGAACAGAGGCTCTCAGAAAAAAAAGAAGAGGAAAAAATAGAGTCTACAAATTATAGATTTCCATACAAATGGAAATGCTAAAACGTTGAAAATTCAAAAAAGTTCGCCTGAGAAATCATTCAGTTTTCGTTCTGTATTTTTATCTTTGGGATTCAGCTTCATTCATCTGTCTTTTTAAGAGGTGAATTTACATTGGCCCACATTTTGTGAGTCTGTCCATTGAAAAATGCAGGCGATAGGCCATAATTCTCAGCGCCACTCGTATATTCGTTTTTATGGCTGAAGATAGGGGGATGAGAGGAAACGCTTCTTTATAGCAACTGCCTGTGTATATATGCATGGCCCTCAGCAGCCGGTTGTGCCACGTGACAGAGAGAGAGAAAAAAAGAAATGCGCAACTGGGGAAAGCCTTGGCAAGTGGAACTTGAAGCATTGCAATTTGCGCCGCTCCCCAACGCGACGCGCGGCTAAAAGTCAATGAAGCCAAAGTCCTGCAACCCCCACCCCTCCCCCTCCTGCTTTCAGCCCGTGTTGTGCCTGTCTGTGTGCTACACTCTGTTGCAATAAGTTCCGTGTTGTTAATTTCTGAAGAGAGTGTAACTTGTAACTTGTAATTTTGTTCGCTTCACGTTCAACGGGCTTCTGCTACTGCTGCTACTGCTGCTGCTGCTGTTGGCTGCTTCTCCTTTTGCTATTTGGGCGAGTGACGTAAACGACGACGTAAAACAGAGCAGCAGCCACGTGAGCGTTAAGCGTTACACAACGTAAAGCGGCAACGGAACGCTTCGTTTGCTTTAAATGTCAAGTGAATAACCATTATTAATATTTCTTTCTCTCTTGCATAACGATAAAATGAAGAATAAAAAAATGAAGGAAAATAAACCAAACTCAAAATCGATGTCAAAATTGATAAAAACGAAAGCGAAAAGAAAAGCGGATTTGCCAAGTCTGTCAAAATCAGGCGCAAAATATCCAAATCAAAAACACTTTTCACTTTTCACTTACTTTTCTTTTTTTTCGTGCTGTGCAGTTCACTCGATAATTTGGCAGCTGCCTTTTTTCTTATGAGACCTGCTTTAAAGAAGACAGTTACAAATAACACAATATATCCACAAAACATTGGTTAGCATTCATGAGAGACAGAGAAAGAGAGAGATAGAGAAAGTGGGAGAGAGAGAAGATATGTGTGTTTCGTTAGCTTAATGTGTACATTTTAATCTTATGTGTATTTTGATTAGATATTAACGGCTGGCTCGGCTCACTCATGCAGCATAATTTCGACTATTTTAAATCGCATTAAATGAACTCAGTGAATTTTCTTCAAGGCGCATTCAATTCGGTTCAAATCTCTCAACTGGCAAAGGCAGCCACAATTCTTTTGATACCATTTTCGCATAATTAATGTAATAACAAATGAGAACATTGCAGTCGGTCGTAACCGACTGAGGAATACTCTGATACCACCTTGCAAATATCCTTTAAATAGCCTAATCTACCATAAGCTGATTTCTAATCGATCTAATAATCGAACTAACCAAATTTGGTGACTCTAGCATTAAAGTTGTGGTTGATATGTATTTTGATCGATTTGAGATTATCGATTTTATTGATTTCTTAGCTCCAAAGTGGAAGCAACACCCCCATTTGGACACGTCGTCTAATGAATATATAATTTACGTTTTAAGACAGACGAACAGAACAGAAATCATGACGTACTTTGCACAAGCCCAATATACTGATTTACCTTAGTTATCAGAGTATATAAAAACAAGAAAGAAGAAGCAATCTTAGGCCAAATATGACCTACCCTTGCAGAGCGCGGAGTTCATCTAATTAAATCTTAATTTCATTACAATAAGTAATCTCCTTCCAAATGGCTTAAATTATAATACGCTCTGCAAGAGCAAGAATAGCTAAACACAAAATTAATGCTTAAAAGAAAATAATTAGAAATCGATAAGGAGGCAACACAGCAGAACACCAGAACAAACAATGGATGAAAATGAGTGAGAGTTAAGCGCGTGGCAAGTGAAAAACATTTTCACATTAAAATTCATTGGACAGCTGTCAAAAAACTGACACAGATACGATTTGTGAGACGGGTTTTTTCTACCCGAAAAAATGGAAATTAGCTGATTAGTTGAGGGTAGAATTTAGTTGAGTTAGGCTTACGATTCTTAGAGACTTACATAAGAGAGCCGCCGTATTGGTCAACTGGGCACTGCCCGGCGAGTTGGCCGAATTGGTAAGACTCGGTTGTGTCATGGCCGCAATTGCTGCCAGATTCTGTACGGAAAGTGGATTTAGTAGACCAGCTGCTGCCGCGGCATTTGCCGTATCCTGCGTGGCATTGTTTTGCTGAGCGGCACCCAAGCCAGTGAGTGCTGTGAAAATATCAAGAAATTTTAATTAGTCCTCTGTTGCATATATCATTTATGAATGTGAAATCTAATTGTCTACCACTCAAACTTATTTATACCGATATTTGCTAAATAGGTTATTGATAAACTTAAATAGACTTGATCTTGAAGCCTCTAACTTTTATGCTCTCGGGGATCGGCTTAGCCATATCGACGGACTGACAAATATGACTAAATTGTTTCATCTGCTTATGTTGATAAGAAATATCTAAAGTCTTTCACTTCCCTCTGCCTATTATATACCCTACTTTCCATCATTAAGGGATAGCTTGACTAACGCTTAAAGTTAACCTACTCTTTTCAAATTTGACAGCATATGCAGCAGGCTATGAATAAGAGTAGTTCTACTCTGAATATGTTTCTATGTGGACCACTTACCTTGCAACAGCTGCTGCTGCAGTCCAACTGTTTGCAGCTGCTGCAGCAATTGAATGCTGGCTGGTGTCAGAGCATCGGCTCCCAACACTGGCGACGGCTGTTGCGGTGGGTTTGGCAGTATCGGTGTGGACACTGTGGTTGCCGTTTGGCCCAGTGGTATATTTATGTTTGTGGCCAGATTCCACAAATTCGCCTGAATTTGCTGGATCTTCTTCTGTTCCTTCTCCTTTTGTGTGTCCGCAAATTTGACAACCAGCGGCGATGTGCAGCCCTCCATGATTTTATTCTGACTCAAAGTCTAAACAAGAATTATTTTGCATATTAATATTATCAGTTGAACAAGTACAGCTTTGAGCCAAGAACACCACTTACCACTTTAATGGCCGAGATGGCAGCGTGTTTGGTGGCGAATGTGACAAAGGCACAACCCTTGCTCTGACCGTTGGGATCCCGGAGTACGGTGCACTCCTCGATGCCACCGTGGACTTCAAATAGTTTACGCACGTCGTTCTCGTTTAGCTTCTTATTTAGCATGCCCACGAACAGTTTGCGTTCTGCAAAATATAACAAGAGTAGAGAAACATTTTAGAATTGGTGTAAGCAAAGCTAATCATTTTTATTATATATTGTTCAAATTAAACGTACGATAAGAAAACTGATTAACAAGTCAAGCTTACTTCTAAATTTGACCTCTACGAACTCATAATTTCTTCATTTTGTCATTTATAGATTAAGTTTTCTCATTTAAGTCTGTCTTTTATCAAGTTTATCAGGTTAAATATAAATTCTCAGCATTTGTTGATAAAGAAGAGAGAGCAAATAGAAGATGAAACAAAAATCACACAACGCTATATGGCATATAGTAACCGGTTGTCTTTGAACTTGTTAAATAAAAAATAAGTCATTTATTACATTTTTAATTTCTGCACAGAAAAAGGGCACTGAATCAAAGCAAAGCATATTTGCTAAAATGTTATAATTTAATTAGCTTTTGGATTTGCCTTTGCCATTGCCTTGGCCTTGGTAAGTTAATCGTAGCGTGAAGAAAACGCAATGCGGAAGCGCCAGCAACCACAGCAGCCTTCAAAGCACACACACATTCACAGAAAAGACACACACACACATAGATACAATGTGTAATTGAAAACCTCAGTGTCTGCGGCAAACGCTTGACTGAGTATCACATGACAAGGTTCAGCATTTGACATTGGCAGCAGTTGGTGCTGACGGTCAGAGAACTAGATAACTTGGCCTAGTTCCACAAGTGGGTGGAGCGCCCAGAGTAGAGAATGAAGTCAGCGACCAAAGAGAGAGGGATGGTGAGAGAGATATAATAAAGAGATAGATCCCAGACCAGACACAGGTAGATATTGAGAAAGAGCGACAGATGAAATACCAAAGAGAGGAAAAGAGAGAGAGGGAGAGAGAGATGCGAAACCAAATAGGGAGATAGAGAGAGAGAGACATACGAGACTAGATATATGTAGCGAGAGATTAAGAGAGATCAGAAATAGAGAGAGTGGGAAAGCCTATAGACCAGATAGAGAGAGAATGAGAAACATCATGAGATAGAGAGATACAGAGAAAGTGAGAAGGTGAAACCAAGAGAAAGAGGCAATAAAAAAGAGATAGTCCGTGTAAGAGATAAAGTTTGAGATAGAGACAGAGTGGCAGAGAGATAGAGACCGAGCAAGAAAGAGAGAGAGAGAGAGAGAGAGAGAGAGAGAGAGACAGAGAGAGATACAGGTAACAGCTGAAAGAGCCAAGCTTGCTTAGTTAATTTAGTTCAATTCAACATTGCACAATTAACTCGGCATAATTTAAATATTTGTATGCACAATTCTCGATCACTGGGAAATGGAACTGAAATGGGAGAATTCTGTGTCAACTAATTGGCGCACATTTAAAACAGGCTTGCCAAATATTTGCAGACATGCAGAACTCCGTCCACGATATGGGTAGACGGGGGCGTAGCAGGCAACTCCCACACACACACAGGCACAAATGATTGTCAACTAATTTATTAGCACACACAAAAGCACAGACACAAAATGCAGTCAGCAACTGGGCAAATTAATTGCTGCCAAATATGCAATTGGCTGCAACGGGATTTGCTGTTGTTGTTGCACAGCAACCGCTGTTAACCATTTTCGCAGAGAGCCAACAGACGACAGACAAACAGCTAAATAATAAATTTGTCCTAATTGCGGTTCATTAAAATGCAACTTTTTCACGCTTGAATGTGATTCAAATGTTGGCGAAAACCAGCATTAAATGCTAACCAATTTGTATTTTTGGTACAATCATTTTAGGCATAGATAGAAACCCATTTTAATGCACTTACAATGGATAATTAACAAAATGCAATAGTCGAGTGAACTCAATTAAGACATACTCTGTACTTTTAACGGATGGTTCGCTCATATTTGCAAATTTGCAAATTTGTTTAGTTGATCGATACTATGTCTGGGGAAATTATATATAAATGGAAATATAATGGGGAAATTATATTCAATGGGCTCGGATTTCCCTCCTTCAGCCTATGTTTAACCCCTTTTTAATGAGTAGACAAATATTTATAAATTCCTCAAAAATGGGATTAACAAATTTGAAAGAACATTTTACTTAACGTATTTCTAATTTGAATAATGCTCTGCTAAGGCAACCATATGTTTGCTAAGCTTTGTTTCGTTTTTGGCCAACAATTGACGGCAAATTGTTATTATTATCGAAAGAGAAAATTTCATTTTATTGTTTATAATTGCCATTGTAAGAGTTAGGATTATTATTATAATTATTATGTGTCTGACTGTTGTTGCTATTATTGGAAATACATTAAAAATTATAATTAAAACTGCTCTAAGCGCAGAATTTAGACAGCGCTCTATTGCTGAATATATATACATATATATAGTATATATATTAAATTTATCAAATTTAATTATCTCTGATAGAAGTTTACTGGGTGTGTTTAAAATGTTTATAGTGCTGGTACTTAAATATCTCATCAGCATTATTTGAAATAATAACAACTTGAAGACCACAATATTCTCGCTGCTCTGGCGTTGTGAAATATATTTAAACTTCAGCTGTAGCCTTATGGCCAAATTATAATGAGATGCATTCCATTCCAAATGGAAGAGGGAGATGGAGAGTAGAGAGGGAGGAGGTGTGGCTTCCACTGCTATGCGGTATTTGCCACACTTTTTAAGGCATTACGTGCTGCAATTCCTTTCGAATTTCTATTGCCATTCTCCATTCCCCTTAGAGAGACAGAGAGAGAGAGGGAGAGAGAGAGAGAGAGAGACAGAGAGTGCTGCATCATCATCGTTATCAAATGCAAACCGCCGATGACTCCGCTGCTACTGCTGCTGCTGGCAGCACTTGCATTATTATTATGATTATTGCAGCTGCAATAGCAATAGCAAAAGCTAACTGCACTTGAGCTACATTATCATAATCCCAGTTGCAGCCACAACGGCAACAGCAACAACAACAACAAAAACATTGCAGCCACCCACGTTTCGCTTCGTGGCATGAAAAAAATTTAAAATTCATTGAATTTGATGCGTGTCGATGACTGTGGCTGGCTGTGGCTGACTGCCAGTTGCAATTCCTGTTGGCTAAAAACATTCCACCTCGCAAACCACCCATGCACCACCCACTTGGCCACGTTTTGTTATCATCGCAATGTGGCAGCGACTTGACGGCACTTGCCGCAAATGTTAAGTCAGAGAGAGGAGAGCTTTAGCGGCAGTAAACAAAAAAAAAACAAAAAAAATTAAATAAAAATATGCAAAATGAGAAACACTGCAAATTGGACGCGATTTATTTATTCTCAGATTGGGAGAAAAATGTTAAAGAATAAAGATCCACAGAGTCAACCTGCCGATATCGAAATTTCACTCCAAATTTAAAACAGATTAATTGCTACCAATAGTTACTATGGCAACTATATGATGTAGAAACCATTACGAAAATTATGAAAATGAAACTTGATTGCATATTGAATACAATATCTAAACTGAATCATTATCCAAATTTCATTTACATTTCTCTTATTTTTAGAGTGTAACCTTATCAAACATTATTCATCAAACTTCAAAGTCGGTTAGACTTAAATGTGTCTGGATTTACTAAGCTATATCTTATGAGTATTTGTGAAAGATGATCCATTAGTTATTATTATTATTCAAGCGCATTTACTACACACTTCAAGCTAAGCTCATTTTCAGTTTATCTACTACCATCAGCTGAGCAAGCAAAGAAACTATTTCACTTGCCCAAAGCGGACTCTTTCCAAAGTGCAATTCAATTGCAAATTTAATGCACAGAAAATAGTTCATTTCAGCTTAAAGCCTGCTTGCAAGCATCTCTCTCGCTCTATCCCGCTGCCTATCCTCTTGCCCACATGCTGCTGAAGCATCCATTTGAAATATTAATATTGCCATGGCTCGGGTGGGTCCAAGACTACTGTGTGTGTGTGCTCGTCGTCGTGGGCAGGCCAACCTTAATGCAACTAATCTGCTTCTAGTGGCGCACATTAAGTATTGCCACGCTTTCGACTTTAATTTGAAAACATAAAGCATGCAGCTTCAGCAGCAGCAGCAGCAGCAGCAGCAGAGGTAGCAGCCGTGGCAGAGGCAGAAGCAGAAGCAGAGCAGCGAATAAAGTGCGGCCACTTGTGCAGCTGCAACACACACACACGCACACACATACGCACACCTAAAAATATGGCAGCCATTTTGCATGCAACTCAACTAACCGAGCGACCACTTAAACCAAACACAAAAACCCAACCGAACCGAACCGAACCGTATAAAAACAAAAATGCATTGCGCTACTTCATGACATCGACTCAGATGCAGATGCAGTTGATGATGATGATGATGATAACGATTTGGATGTTGGTTACAGTGTTAACGGTACTGAAAGAACTAACATTTATTTTTCATTAATTTATAATATAAGCCAAGACATTTTGTCATTAAGAACATCGTTTCTCATATAGAATTAGTTCAAAACAATTTCTTTGTGGCAACAGCAACCTTCAAACACATTAGTTAAAACCCCTATAAAAGAAATGCATACAAAAAATGAATGAAATCAGTATAAAATGAACTCAATATTGACATAAACTTCTTTCGATTTGTCGAATTCCATTGAGGGACAGGGTTTAATTTTATTTAAATTTATTATTTATTTAAATTATTTATTAAAATCCTAAGACTGAATGAATCACAGACTCAATCATAGATTTAAATATATGCAGCCAATAAATATAATAGAATAATTTATATATTCTTGCTCAATTCATAAGCGGATTATCAGAGGCAAGAGTAGACTCAATACTCAATCACAGCTAACTGATTCAGTTATATTTCAATTGAAAATGGTTGAAATGTGGCCACTGTGCGACAGGTGCAATGCCAGAGCCATTTGTTGATTCCGCATGAAAACGGGTCATATTTGCCTCGCCTCGCCAATGTATGTATGTGTGTGTGTGTGTGTGTGTGTGTTGCACGGTACCCAAACCCGGATCGCAGGCTTAGCT